GGAGCTGGCAAATGAAGTTGCGAAGCCACTGGCCATCATATTTGAAAAATCATGGCACTCAGGTGAAGTTCCTGACAACTGGAAAAAGGGAAATATAACCCCCATTTTCAAGAAGGGGAAAATGGATGACCTGGGGAATTACAGACCAGTCAGTCTCACCTCTGTGCCTGGCAAAATCTTGGAGCAGATTCTCCTGGAAGGCATGCTAAGGCACATGAAAAACAACTAGGTGCTGGATGACAGCCAGCATGGCTTCACTAAGGGAAAATCCTGCCTGACCAATTTGGTGGCCTTCTATGGTGGGGCTACAGAAATGATGGACAGGGGTAGAGCAGTCAATGTCATCTACCTGTACCTTGCTACTACGCACGCAAAGTGTAAAGCGTTTGACACTGTCCCACACGACATCCTTGTCTCTAAATTGGAGAGACATCAATTTGATGGATGGACCACTTGGTGGATAAAGAACTGGCTGGATGGCTGCACACAGAGTTGTGGTCAATGTCTCAATGTCCAGCTGGAGACCAGCAAGGAGTAGTGTCCCTCAGGGATTGGTGTTGGGACTGGTCTTGCTCAAAATCTTTGTCGGTTACATGGACAGTGGGATTGAGTGCACCCTCAGCAAGTTTGTCAGTGACACCAAGCTGTGTGGTTCAGTTGATACCCTGGAGGGAAGGAATGCCATCCAGAGGGACCTTGACACACTTGTGAGGTGGGCTGATGACAACCTTATGAAGTTTAACCACGCCAAGTGCAAGGTCCTACACCTGGGTTGGAGCAATCCCAGGCACAGCTACAGGTTGGGCAGAGAAGAGATTCAGAGCAGCCCTGCTGAGAAGGACTTGGGGGTGTTGGTCGATGAGAAAATGAACATGAGCCAGCTTCAGTGTGCGCTCGCAGCCCAGAAAGCCAACCACACCCTGGGCTGCATCAAACGGAGCGTGACCAGCAGGTCGAAGGAGGTGATCCTGCCCCTCTACTCTGCTCTCGTGAGACCTCACCTGGAGTATTGTGTGCATTTCTGGTGTCCTCAACATAAAAAGGACATGGAACTGTTGGAACAAGTCCAAAGGAGGGCCACGAGGATGATCAGGAAACTGGAGCACCTCCCATATGAAGACAAGCTGAGGAAGTTGGGGAAGTTGGGGCTGCTCAGCCTGGGGAAGAGAAGGCTGCATGGAGACCTCATAGCAGCCTTCCAGTATCTGAAGGGGGCCTATAGGGATGCTGGAGAGGGACTCTTCATTAGAGACTGTAGTGACAGGACAAGGGGTAATGGGTTAAAACTTAAACAGGGGAAGTTTAGATTGGATATAAGGAGGAAATTCTTTTCTGTTAGGGTGGTGAGGCACTGGAATGGGTTGCCCAGGAAGGTTGTGAATGCTCCATCCCTGGCAGTGTTCAAGGTGGGGTTGGACGAGGCCTTGGGTGATATGGTTTAGCGTAAGATGTCCCTGCCCATGGCAGGGGGTTGGAACTAGATGATCTTAAGGTCCTTTCCAACCCTAACTAGTCTATGATTCTATGATTAGTGCTCAAGTTAGAGACATATTACAATCAGTAATAGACAACAAAGGAAGCTCCCCCGAGGAAACAACCATGGTAATGATCGACAGTAAAGGACTGCTTTTTTTTTCTCTACAAACCATTCAGACAAAAGCAGGGATATGCCACAAAAAAACATGTGGCATATCAAACTTTTGACAAGAGAAAACAAAGAGAATGAGGAGCAGAAGAGGGACACTAGCCACATGGCAAGGGAGAAGGAGATGCACTATGGAGTGCAATGAAGTCCAAAGTCCTGCATTCAGGAATGAAGTGTAGATAGAAAGGAGTGAAGAGAGCTTGGGGAAGGAAATCAGGGATCAGGCACCTGGAGAAGGGCAGGCAAACAGCAGCTTTCCAGGATCACTTTCTATGGTGCACATAATTTATTAAGACTGTGTAGAACAAACACCCCTACCCTAACTATTCAAAGTCTCTCCATGCTTCCGTATGTCTTGTGCTGGTACCTGTTGGTTTGTCATACCATTCCTCACATTTTGCAACTCCAGCCCATCTGGCATGATTCAAGGCCACAATGTTTTCAAGTTATGCAAAATAGTCCTAATTCAATTTGGCAAAATGACAGCTTTAGCATTTAGGCCCAGTTCTGCTAGGCAGCTCTACTTGCAGGCCATCTTTGAACTTGGATACCAAAAATTCACTTTATCAGAGCTGTCCAGTGTTACCTTAGTACTATGAGGATTTTGAATGACTACAGCAGGGGTTACTGCTGCCTTGATATCAGTTTGGCTCAGTGTCTGAAGTATCCATACCTCCTGCACTGGGAAATACAAAGGAGGTGTCCCATACTATGGAATGGAATAATTTTCCTCTAGCTTGTGGTGGTCACTTTAAAAGTAAGTTCTGCTGTTGTTACAGTGTATAAAGGGTCAAATAAAAGAATTTGATAAGGTTTTTTTCCCTTTTTTAATACAAACAGAAAACACTTTCTTACATATACTTAGGTTGCTGTGGTTTTTGTGTTTTTAATGAAAACACTTATATTTGGAAACAATAAAACACTCAAGTTTATATAATTTATTTCCTGGCTCTTTTTTTTTTTTTAATTCTTTTCAAAATCTTTATTCCTAAATTATTTTTTCTTTTTAGCTTTTTAACTTATTTTTAACTGGATAATACCCTTTTCAGTTTTCTCTTGAATTCTCTTTTACAGCTTAAACTTTTTAAATAACAGAATAAAGAAATCATTGGAGGTTTAGTGAAGTGAAACACTTCACTCAATACAGTTTTGACTTTTCATAATCAGTGTTTTTCTTCTGTTTGTAAACAGTTTTATTTGATTATTTCTTTGTTTATTCATTACCTAGTCTTGATCAATTAAATTGCATGGCTGCTAGTGTCTGACTGCATCTCTAGAATTTAATTAGAAAAACAAAAATCAACTGGAAACAAAGGCAGTATGAGAGTTTGCCATTGCAAGTGTATCTGAAGTCCGTAATTGAAAAGTTTTAATCTCTTTTCCATTAACATATGTAATCTCTTTTCCATTAAAAAAAGATGTAGGAAAGCTGCATTTACTTGTAAACAAATTGTCCTGTGCGCACAGTATGCCAATATGGGTATAGTTCTGCTGCATCTCCAATCTCATAAACAATATAAGATGTTGTACACATTAGCAAAAAGTTAAAGTACACTGAAGTCTAAAACTCAGAAGTAAAGCATGGGTTTGCTGTATTTCTGTAAATTTGGAAAGAATGGTTTTGAAACTCATATTGGGGAGAATATTGCATGAAGTCACACATCACATTCATAACATCCCTACAGGTGTACTATATCATGTATGGAAATGGATATACTTCAATAACATATTTCACACTGGTAGAACCCATTTCCTTTTGCACCTTATCTTGTTCAAAGTAAACAAACACCCTAACACTCTTGTGCATATGTACTATGATATTAAAAATTAAGTTAATTAGCACCTGGAAAATTATGAAATCCCACCCTAGAACAATGGCACAGCTGCACTTCATTCTTTAAGAGGGACAGCGCTGGCTTTCCTGCGATCCAAGTGTTAGTGGTTGATGAAGCAAGAGGAAGGATAATGATTGCCATCAGACTGCTTGGCTGAACAGTGAAAGGCATTATTAAAGGCATCAGACTTTTTTGTTAGGGTAGGAGCATGAAAGCATTTTGAACCATATATCACCTGAAAGGAAAAGACAAGGCCAATAGGAGTGTTTTCCCTTGCTCCTCCAGTACTGTTCACATAAGCTACATATCAGAAAGAATAAATTGGTAAGTGACCCTGGCAGAACAGATTTTATAAGAAAAAAGAACAAAGGGCAAAACATTAAATTCACTGTCAGATCTTTCAGGAAATGAAAAGGCAGATTCAAATTCTGAAGTCTCTTTCCCAGGGAACAAATTGATGTGACCACATAAGCTTCACCAGTCAATCCATATTCTCAACACAAAAAATATTTACTGAATTGAGCACGCTGAGTTACTAGAGCGTTGTATTTACTTATTTCTGGAGGTGAGTTGAGCTTGGCACAAGTTACAATCCCACTGACATACATAAAGATCCAAGGCACAAAGGCTTAATTATGATTCCTATGAAAATCACAGGTGATGTGAGCCAACAGGGAGTGCCCAGAGTTCTGTTAAGTGAAGGCTAACAGTCCCCTGAGTCATATACAACCCATCATAATAGTATGGATGATCTGTGAAAAAAAGAGTTACTTTAAGAAAAGTTATGTGAAGATTATCTGTTCCTCCTAATCAGGAATGTATACTCGGCTGGGTTTGTCTACTGGACTTGCTGATCTCTGCATACATATTGATCAGTCTGGGTGTAGGTAAGCAAGATTTGCCTTCCCTCTCTATGCAGGGGATATGATTGGGGCCCTACCCTTCCTTCAGATTTGAATAATATGAGGTAATTTTGCATTAAACTAAATACCAAAATAGCCAGAGGTCATTAGTGTCTGATGAAGACTGGTATCAAAAGAACATTGGCCAAAATGGTAACTAGAAATCTAATAGCAAAACCCCTCTGAAGTATCTGAATGGTTCTCCACTAATCGAGCTCCACAACTTCAGGAATGATCTACTGGCCACAAAAATGCTAAGTATGTATGTGTTTCTGGGATGCCCCATAAAGTACTAATCTCTTTCAAAAGAGGCTTAATTGTCTGAGACAGAATCTGGGTATACAGCATAAGAGAAATCAATGTCTCCATGCATGGGAAGGCAAACAAGTCCAGGGTCCCAAAGCTCAAAGCAGTAAAGTGTTGAGCACGCATTTCTCCACCTGTGATACCGTAGGTGATTGCAACATACAGCAGTTTCTTTTAACCACTATTTCTGGATGTTGCATTTAAGTGACCTAATCCCATTACCACATTTTTTACTCATTTCCATTGAAATATAAAATTTCAGTCTTAAAATAAAACTGATTTTTGTATTGCAACTTTTTGCTTTTTACTTAGAACGTTTGAAAATCTTTCCCCTGCTAGTTAAAAGATATTCACCATAAACCTTGGCTGCCTGCTCCTGCACAAAGAGATAATGCAGAACTTTAACATGAAGAAGCTGGTCAGCTGGAGACCAACTATTCCAGGTACTCTGTCAGCATTGTAACTGGTTAAGAAACAGTTTTGTGGAAAACATTCAATTTGTATGCTCAGCATGTGAATATTAATTTATATTCTGAATGGACAGTCTGGGTGCATTTCATTATTTCCTAGGCTAAATATTTATTGTGCTTAATTTGGCTAAATTTGGAAAATTCAGTTTCTATTTATCAGCTTTTGAAAACAATCTGTGATCATAAATACACTGCAAATTTAACAAGACAAAACCTCAGTTCTGTGTCTGTAAGATGGCACTAAGGTGCACTATTCCTCATTAAAAAAAATTTAAACAGAGATAATATGCTCCAAAGATAGGTATTGGAAAAATGGAGAGGTATTTAAATGTACTGGTGTCTCCATTGTCAGATGCTGTGGTAATGAGGAACATATCAGTACCCAGCGTAAAAAAAAACCAAACCCTCAACAGCTACATATTAATGCTGTTCAAAGGCAGTAATGCAAAACTGTATCTCATGTTTCATAACTCATTTAGGATTGGTCCTCAGAAATCCTGTATCATAAACATAGTAATAAAATTATATAGGACTTATTTCTGTTTCTTTTTTAAAGACTGGGGATATAGATCTACTTTCCAACAGTTAACACTTTATTATCTCATCTATTACTTGTCCCTTAGTTTCTTGCTCTTAATTCTTCAACTTGTTTTGCCATAAGGAATAGATAGGAAATAGCATATGGAAACATTATTTGCATCACAAAAATTTAGTAGTAGTGAAATAAAATCTAAAACTAATTAATATGTTGCTTCTGATGATAAGACATTTTATTTTGGTAATTTCTTTTAGACTGTTACAGAAGGATTAGAAACAGTGGAAGCAACAGTGGTTCAATTAACTACAATGAGATTGCAAAGGACGCTAGATATTTCATTTGGGATTTAAGTTTTCTATGTGCACCTGAGAAGCTGACCAATATGAAGGCCTTTCACGAAAATTACTGTATGTCTCAAAGTTCTAAATTATTCATATGAAGAAATGAAATGATCAACAAAACCACTGGATAATTAATGAAGTTGTCATCTTGACAAGACTAATAATAAGCTTCTTCTCAATAAATCATCAGTGATTCCCATGCTATAATCACAAAAGCAATTCTACTCTATGTTTACCAGCTAGTGGAATAGAAATATCAAAACTTAAAAGCAGTTGGTTGAGTTTTGCCAATAGTTCAATGATTTTACATGATTACACATAATTGGTTACTAACTCAGTACATAGTTGCTATGGATGTGAACTTACAAGACAAACTGTCATCGTTCAATTTCGATGGAAAATATTTCTTCCTGATAATATTTTTTTAGGAAAAATACTAAGAATAAGAAGCAGCAGCACTAGTAAGATGCTTATATCTGCTAAATCCAGTACCACAGTAATGGGTGAAATTATCAGTGGACTATTTATTCTTTAATTAAACTCTTTGTTGGTTTAATCATACAGTATCACAATAATAATGCTGCACTGGATAGATAAAGACAAAGGACGTTAGAACAAGGCTATAAGAAGTCAGATGATACAACACAGACACGTCAGATCTCATCTATATCACTCCATTCTATGCTGTTCTTCTTCACTTCCTTGGTAAACTGCTCTTTATTCACGTTCAACCAACATTAGGAGTTTCCCATACATACAGGGAGGAGTATTTCTCAATCACATACTTTTTTACTGGTCCTGCAGGGTAATAACCATGCCAGCATCACTGCCTTCCCCCTTCTGTGACTCCAGACCGCCTGGCTGAGGCTGCTGAAGCACCTCATTCCCACAGGAGCAGGAGGCAGTCTGAGTCCTGAAAAGCCGAGCTTTGGGGTTGGCAGCGGTCTGTTGGGCTCAGCATGCCCTTGCTGCTTTGACTATTTCGTAGCCACACTGTGCCTCTTGGGAAATTCAAACACAGCCGAAGCTCAGAGAAGCTCTGACATTGGAGGACAAAGCAACGTCCAACTTCAGGTGCACAGAGCTGACTCACTCTTGCCAATAGCCACACATCACCGTGGATTAGGATTTCAGTGGAGTGACAACACTAAAACAATGCAGTGGGGTATCAAGCTCTGTGCCTTTAAACAATAGAGGAAAATAATTAAGAAATGGTCCCAATATTCTGTTAGTTGATTGTTGGGTACACACTTTCACACAAAATCTGAAAACCATAAACCCTCTAGGCTTTCTATTCTGGTATTTCCATTTCGGTAATGGAGACATTGCTACAGATAGAAAGAGGTTTGGAGATGAGAAACAGCATATTCCAAATATTTCCCAAGAAAAACCCTAGAACTTTGCAACCTTTTCTTTAAAGATAGCTCATTAAAAATGCAGCTTTATGTGTTTCTCATTGACAAAAGTCATGCCAAAATTTTAACTCCTTACACTAAACCACCTAAGATAAAGTCAGAACTGCAGAACCTATACTATCACTACAGGCACTCCAGATACTCTCTGTGCTCTCAGGAACATCTGCTACTTTCTTCTGGGTAAAAATATGCTGTTTGTAACTTGTCTTCTGTCTACCCAGAGGCAGTGATGGTTTTCCATTCCTTTTTAACTCTTACATGGCACATTTCATCCCTTTTCTAGTCCATACCAATAGCTGTACCATAGCACACTCACTGTGTGAGCAGTTGCAGACCCCCTTGATCTAAGCATGGTTTATTGATGCTTCGACGAGCAGAATATGAGGTAGACTTTGTCAAGATTTACACAGAAAATTCATTGCTTATTGCAAGGGAAGTCCCCAACCCTACCTGGGTGCTCTTGGAGGCTGAAGGAAAAACAGTTTCCAACCAAGAGTGGCTCTAACTGGGGAGAAGAGTGACAGGAAGGCTGCTGCATACACATAGCAAGATCTGTGCACCAAGTCCCTCACAATGCTTTAGAAATTGGAGTGGGAGCACAGATGCATTTAGCTTCCTGCCTGGAAAGTTGCCATGTACAGATTAACAGCTATGATCCCACCATACCACAAAGAAGTAATGCAGGGAAATTTTGTCGCTGCTTTATGGAGAGGATCCCATTCCTCAGATTATTGGCTCAGTTTCTGTTCTTGTGACTGGATCCGAGTGTTGGGCTTTGAAATGAGCCTATTATCAGATTCTAAAGCAGAATAATTTTATTTTTGTAAGTGTACAATAAAAATGCTGATGGGTACGTGCAGGCACGATGCTTATTCTTCTGAAACCTAAATATGCAAATACACTCTAATGCATTTTAGATAAAAGAGTCTTAAGAGTATCATTGTGTTGGTCATTCTCTGGGGTATCAGGCCATCTAGTTGCAAGTGTGAAACAGTAAAAGCACCTCTTGCTTGGACGTTTCTTTAAGTTTATTTGTGAAAACATATTCCAAGCATGCGCGTTAAGTGTGCTAACTTGGCGTTATGCTGGCAAAGCTGATTCCATATCATTTAGATCCCAGATTTCACAACATCTTACGCTCTGCTCTTATGAAAAGCCAAAGGCAGTGTTTTCTTCAAGTGAGAAGGAATGATATGCTAGGAGACAAGATGGTGAAGAATGCATAGCTGCCTGATTTTCTTTTTCGGAGGTATACTGCAATTTGGGTGCAGGTTGTTTTTTTATGAAGTGCAGAGGGGTAACAAACCCAACCACTTCAAGCCTTCTTTCTTTTTTGTATAAAATAATAGTTTCCTGATTGCCATGAGACAGCACACTAAAGTGTGAAAATACTGCAGCAGCTGTGGTGGCAACACATGTCATTTCTGTGCATACGCTGAGATTTTTCTCATGAGACTCTTAAACATATGCAGTGAAGCATTCAATACACACAGTTAATATCTAACAGTAATTCCTGCTTGTGTTTGTGTACTACACTGGCAATGTCTGGAATAACTGCCAGATTTTACAAATAAAAGTTAGGTATGAAAACATCCTGCTAGGATTGCTGTATCCAAACCAAAACAGAGGGTCTGATTTTGGTTTTATAGTCATTGTTTGGCATTCCTTATGGAGGAAGTAATTAATACAACCAGGCAGGAGGAGGACTGTCTCATGGGATACACAATCCTTTTGTAACTTGATTCAATTATTTTTTGCTAGCTATAATTCTCCAGTAAATGCTCCACCTTCTCTTCCTTGTGTTTCTATCAACTAAAAAAAGGACAAAAGATTGAAATAGAATGACAATGGTATTGTCGATATGACTGTTAACTTTATATTGAAAATTTAACCTGCTATGCGTTAAGTCAATTCCTGCTGGAAAAGGGCAGCTGACAGTAGACATTATTCAACACTATTGCATTTGTATGTTCTTTCACTGGAACACGTGATATTGAGATGGATTATTAAAACCTTATAAATGCTAGATCTCTCCCTAGACTCAAACTCTGCTTTTGTTCTTCAGCTTTCACAGCATTTTAGAACAAAACCAAACCAGTTGTGGCAGAAAGAAATAAAGCTAAACCATGTGCTAGCACTACCCTCTCTTAAACAGGTGAAAAAGAAGATGCTGGGTAACTATGTGGCTCACATGCAGCTCAAGACAGGGCACGCTTCGACTCTCAAGGACTAACCATATCCCTGAACTCAGGTTTTGGCTCTAGCACCACAGCTTTTTATTGCTTTTTAGAAATCTAACAGCAACCCCTATGCTCTGCCAAACCAATTTCTGATAAAAAAAATCTGATTTAGCGTTTAAGATGAAAAATCTCTAATCAAAACTCTATCCCTTACATTTATTTTTCTGATTCTACTCAGAGATTTTGCTGTTTACAGCCGTATTTCACTCCTGTAACTTAGCTGGTCCCACCACATTCAGAGTTAAACCTGAGCCTGTAACCTACTTAACTTCAGCTGATTTTAAAACAGAAAAGTATCACTAGCTTTAGTTTATAAATGTCACCATATATTTCAATCTATTTTGCAGATAAGATTAAATCCATTTCATTGCCTTAAATAATTCAATAGTATTCTTCTTTTGGTGGTTTTAAGAGAACAAAAAACTAGTATTCAAATGGC